AGAAGAAGCTCAGGGAGGAAGGAGAGAGGTCAATAACAGGTGAAGAGGAGTCACGATGCCAGGCAATAAGGGGAGGGGGGATAAATAGATTTACCCACGGTGTTAGTTTTAGCAATGTTCTGTTTACAAGCTACATGTTTTTTTTTTTCTTTATCTGCACTCAGTTGTTACCGACTCTGCAGTGACTGCTTTTTTTGTACGAGTCCTTTGCAGCTTTCAAGGCAAAGTGTTTCGGAACTGACCCAAGCCTGGTTGTGTGAGAATGCTTCAGAACTGAGAGTTGAACATCGTGGACTTGACAGAGAGAATGCTGAGTTGCATCCAAAGAACACCATACCTACTGTGAAGCATGGGGGTGGAAACATCATGCTTTGGGGCTGTTTTTCTGCAAAGGGACCAGGACGACTGATCCGTGTAAAGGAAAGAATGAATGGGGCCATGTATCGTGAGATTTTGAGTGAACACCTCCTTCCATCAGCAAGGGCATTGAAGATGAAACGTGGCTGGGTCTTTCAGCATGACAATGATCCCAAACACACTGCCTGGGCAACGAAGTGAGAATGCTTCAGAACTGAGAGTTGAACATCGTGGACTTGACAGAGAGAATGCTGAGTTGCATCCAAAGAACACCATACCTACTGTGAAGCATGGGGGTGGAAACATCATGCTTTGGGGCTGTTTTTCTGCAAAGGGACCAGGACGACTGATCCGTGTAAAGGAAAGAATGAATGGGGCCATGTATCGTGAGATTTTGAGTGAACACCTCCTTCCATCAGCAAGGGCATTGAAGATGAAACGTGGCTGGGTCTTTCAGCATGACAATGATCCCAAACACACTGCCTGGGCAACGAAGGTAACAGTGTGTGAAAACCTTGTGAAGACTTACAGAAAACGTTTGACCTCTGTCATTGCCAACAAAGGATATATAACAAAGTATTGAGATGAACTTTTGATATTGACCAAATACTTATTTTCCACCATGATTTGCAAATAAATTCTTTAAAAATCAGACAATGTGATTTTCTGGATTTTTTTTCCCATTTTGTCTCTCATAGTTGAGGTATACCTATGATGAAAATTACAGGCCTCTCTCATCTTTTTAAGTGGGAGAACTTGCACAATTGGTGGCTGACTAAATACTTTTTTGCCCCACTGTATTTCTGTGCCTTCAAGCTGCAAAAAATGAAATGAAAAATGAAGCAAGTACGCAGCCTCTGAACCTTGTTTAGCACTTAAATGCTTTTTTTCATCCTGCCTTCTTATATTTGGAATTTTCTGCCTAGAGAAATCACACTACTGTGGACTTTTCCCTCATTTTGTATAAAAAGATTGCAGAACAAATTGCAGAACAAAATATCAAGGCAATTAGTTCTCTCCTATGTAGGTCCTATGTAAGAAGTATTCAGATGAAAAATTAAGAGGCAATCAATCAGGAAAGCCAGGTTGGCAATCAATCAATAAATGCCTCATTTCTTCAGCCAAAGTCAGTTATTAGCCCTTGGTGCACGTGAATAAAGAGATGGTGCAGCACTCATAGAGTCAAAGCAAATGGGGCTGTTTGCATTTGAACATTCCTGGTCAAATGCTGCAACACCCTTAACATCCTGTTTAACGACTGAGATCATTTCATCCTTAACACACATTATTATGATGCATATGGAGACTTCAGTGCCTTGATAAAATCTATTGTTTACAATCTAGACAGAGATGTGCAGCCCCATGGGCTGTATAATCCAAGGCAGGGTAATTCAAATATTGCTGTGCCTAAACAGATCTCCAATGCACTGGTTTAATTCTCTCAAATAGAATGTCATACAAGCCTGAACTTGAGCCCCTGAAGTTAACCTGTTATCTCACCTACATTTGCCAGACTCTAAAGCACCCCCAAACTGCCAAGCCCACATTTTGGCAGTGTCTTTTTTGGGTTCCCAAAAGGTGCAAATAAATGCTTATATGAAACTTAACACATTTGTTTACACTTTTGACCTTCAAATCTGAATAAAAGCCCTTAAAAGTTTCAACTGTCTGTCCTCCCCATCCTGGGATGGTATTGCATCTTCAGATTATAGCATCCCCTTGCAGCCCTGAGAAGCCCTTTAAAAAGTTGCCCAAGCTTGGTTCATAATCATCTTGATCTCTTAAACTTACAGTACATGGCTAAGTCTTCTTTAATCATTGCTAACTCTCATAAGGATGATTGCTCATAGAACCAACCAAGGATTTAGTTGTTTAGTACTCCTGCCTACACTTTGGATTGTCATCCCTTTCATTTCAAATTCTATGGTAGGATTTTCTGTTTGGGATCAGACACACTCACCACCAGGAGTCTTTTAAATAAAGACAATTAAAGAGCATTTCATTCACCAGTTATATCTCTTATAATCAACTGATCAGAGAAGGCATCTTATGACAAATCTAAAATTTGACCAAGAAGTGATATAAATTAACAACATTTTAAATCAGTGTTTTTCAAACTTGGCAACTTTAAGATATGTGGACTTCAACTCCCAGAACCCCCCACCCAGCATACTATACTGCATACAGTATACAGATGATACAGATAATGCATACTGGCTGGGGAATTCTGGGAGTTGGAAGTCCACACATCTTATAGTTGCCAACTTTGAAAAACACTATTTTAGATTAATTGAACTTAAGTCACATGGAATTATATGCATCTTAAAACAAGAAAGCCTTAGTTATCAGGTCAACTTATGAAATAATCAACTATTCAAAATGTAAGGAATATCTGAATCAGATATTTTGCAGATTTCAGCTTATATTAAAATAAAGCTCATCAGAGAAAAAATTCTAATGCCCACATTCAGAAATTGCCTTTTTTATTTCAGTAGTAACACAACTGTAAAACAGAAAAACTTGGAATCGAAAGACACTCTTGGGAAATTTCCGAAGAATGAGTAATAAGGAAACGTTACTGCATTAGCTGCTAGTGTAAATAAGAGAAATGTTTAGTACTTAGTGTTTGGCAACTTTCTGCTTTTTTTTTTAGAACAGGGTTTTTACTGTCTGGTTTATTCAAGGAAGTTATATGGTGTTTCAGAATTCTGAATATTTTACAATTCCTGTCTAAATAAAATCAAATTGTCTTTATGTTGGCAATTTCAATATTTGAAGAAGTTATTATTTATGATATTTAGCTATTCTGAATAATTTGATTAATACTCATATTATTCAGAGAAGCACTTTCCAATATGATATTTTAATGACCTTTAATATATTTTTAAATGGAAAATTCTCTATTACATAGGATTAAATGCTGTTGATGCTATATGTATTTGCTTTTCCAGAAGAAATCCCTTTCATGCTTTAAAAATGCACCTTAATTTAATATTATTCAGTATAACATATATAATAGTAAAGAAAGTACCAAACAGGTTATGTGCCAAAAAAGAGCGCTACACATTACAAGGCAATTACAATTTTGACAGAAAACAGGTCATTTGAAGGCAATTCACAATCATTTCCAGGATATCTGTGAGATTTAAGGCCATTTGTTCTACTTTAAAATTTTGACACAAATACTCAGAAAAATGTGAATTTCTTGTAAAAACTGTACATGCAAAAACATTGGATAATTGGGATAAGAACAGGCATATCATAAAATATTTGTGTAGTTCTATACACAAAGTTGTGCACAAAGCAATACAGTTGTGCAGTTTTAATCAAGTTAAATAAGATTCACCACTTATGTGCCCTCCATGGTAATGTGACTGTGTCTCAGCCAACTCAAATGAGCCAGTCCCCTTTTGAACAGACAATCTAGACAAACCGCACAGCAACTGGCTATATATATATCTATATATATCTATATATATAACAGCTGTCAATCATAGTAAGATATTCACTTGTAGAAAGCAATATAATGCCAAAGGTGTACTATTATTCAATGCAAGATACTTTACAGATTTCACACCTTACATGAGCTAAACACAGGGCTCCAAAGTTATTAGAAGTGCATGATACTGTTGTTATCATTTATTATGCCAGCATAATCAATCTTAAAAAATGTAAACACAAGTTCTTTCAGGACTGAAGTATCTTGCAAAAATACATATTCTTACATTATTCACATCTTGGAAGCTTATTCTCGAATATATCAGGTTGATACTTTACTGAGCATCTGAGTGAGGTGTTTCCATTATTGAGACCTATGAATGTATTTGTCCCCACTTTCTATTCTTAGCTTGCATTTGTCTGGACAATCATTCAAAGAGATATTGCTTCTCTTGTGGATTTTTACTATTGCAAGATAGAAGACAATACACTATTCCAAATGTTTAAGAATAAGTATAAAAAATTAGTTACATTTCAAAAGTAGTAACATGTAAACTGTGATACAGAGGAATTGCATTCACATTATATATACATATTAAGTCAGAAAGACAAGGACTTTTGAATAGAACCCGTGGTCTTGTGCTTTCTCCAAAAACCCCACATAATATAATAATTATAATAATAATCGGCTTTTCTGTTAGAAGCAGAGTAACACTCAGAAACAAAGTTCACCATTTTGCTTCTTGTAAATAAAAAGCTGTTCAGTTGCGCATGCAACCAGATTGAACATTTTGGTGTATGAAGTTAATCTCTCCCCCACCCCAAAGCCCACTAGAAGATTCTACTTACTGCATACAAAGAGCTCACTGGCTCTTAAAGTGCATCACTGAACTGGAACTCTTTCTTGGCAGCACTGTATGATTTTGAAAAGCCTTCAGTATTTGAAGTGCTCATATCTGAGTCTGCACCACGTGAATAGGTGGTGTGTAGGGAGGTGGTGCAGGAGATGGCTTGATTCCTCTGACCCTCATATAGGAAAGGAACTGGTCTGGGATCTCAGCTAAGACATCTCTTGCAAGTCGGGCCATACTTAGTATGTGGTTTCCAGTTCTGTCAATGTAATCCCGAAATGGTACAAACTGAAATGAAACAGGGAGAAAAGGTTTAGCATTGCTATTGTGGTATCACATAGAATGAAATCAAAAGCAGGAAATAAAACACTTTTAGACAAATGCAGGAAAAAGGCAGCACGAAAAGAAACCCAAAAAATCAAAACCTCAGTCATAATATATTTAAACAACAATTTTTCTAAATTACTCCTCACCAAAGATCTGATCAAATACACACACAAAAACACCACCAGCAGCAAAATAATGTGGGCCACAGATTTCAAGTTTTATCATAAAATAACCTGGGCTTGTTTCTCCACTTATCATGCCCCTGATTATGGAGCCCAATAAAGTTCTTTGTGGATGTGTAGAGATGTGTTGTGGTTGGTGGTGCTGGGAGTTTCTGTGTTGGTTTCTATTTTTTTTTTTTTACTGCTTTTATTGTTTTTACTGTCCGTTGTGAGACACCCAGGGTGATGTTGCGTAAGATGGGCAGCTATAGAAATCTTTTAAATCAATCAATCAGTCAATCAATCAATATTTTTGTCTCACCTGTACTATATCCCTTTCTGCGTAAACTCCTCTTGATGAAACCCTTACTTCATCACCATCCAGTTCTTCCATGGCTTAAAAGATAAAACACGCCCATTACTTTGCTGTCTGAAATTAATGCGGCCAAACTGATATGAAAAGTGTGGTTTTCTTTTATAATAATCTATATAATACAGCTTAGACATAAGTCACAGTATTTGATGAAACTATCAGTAAGCAGTTGATTGTGAACTACTGAAAAACACTATCTTTCCTGCACAATTACAAGGTTAAAGAACAAGACATAATAACAAGAAATGATATTCTCATTTTACATACTGGTTTTATTCACATTCTGCTTAACCCAATTTGTTTAATCATGATTTACTATATAAACCACAACTGGCTGGGTTCATATTTATTTTATTTTATTTAATAGACTTGTCCACAATGGGGGACTCTGGGCGGCTTACAACAAACTAAAATCAGAAATACATAATTAAAAG